AACAACCCAAAAAAAAACAAACAGAAAAAGCCCCCCAAAACCAATCCAAACTAACAAACAAACAAAAAAAACCCACCAAGAACCCACCAAGCAAATAAGCACTGGCTTTTTTTTTTTTTCCTTCCCCCCCCCCCACCACTGATTCTCCCATTTGGCTAAAATCACATTCTACAATTAATTGGGAATTTTGTTAAATTGTTTACAGATGATACAGTTAAATCTAGAAAGCAGTTAAAATAAGTATTATTGGAGAACTAGCTTATGTTAATTTTAATGTGGAAAAAAATCAGATATGAAAAGAAAATGAAATGCAGATAAAGGAGGAAGCCAGACCATATGGGTACTCAGAGCAGTAAAATGCTGCCCATAAATTAGAGATCATGATATCCCCTTTCTCTCTGTCTCTTCCTCATTACTAAGGAATGGGTGGAAATGTTTGCATTTTTAAAGAATCCACAGACCTAGGATACTACTGTAGGTGAAATGAAACCTTTGCTTTTATTGCTGGATGAAAAGACAAACATATGTCTTATTTCTTCTCACATTTGAAGAATGTCTTCTGAACTCAGCTGCAGAAATACTTGATTATTAGATTTTAGATAAATCCACTTGTAATAAAACTGTTCAGTATCATAAATTATGACAGCACAAGGAGAAAATATATGGACAAATGGCAGCAGATGAGGCAAAAAAAACCTAAGAAGTGGTCACCAAGACCACACAGAGCTTTAAAGGAATTAAAAGCTGAAATAGCTGACCATTACTGAGATTAGAGAGTGCCATTTTTTAGCTCAAGTCTTCCAAGAGAGACTCAGAAAACAAGAAGTCTGTCAGCCTGATATCTATCCAAAACAAAGAGGTGGAAGCTGTGTTATGGAACAGTGGACATCTGGATAAATATGACTTATCTGGGAAGAGTTAAAACAGTTTTCATAAAAGGAACTCCTGCCTCACAAACATAAGGCAGCTCTTTGAGGGGATCAAAAAACACGTGGATAAGGGTGATCTGATTGATCTTGGATTTACAAAAGGCTTTCAACAAATTCCTTCACCAAAGGCTTTTAAGGAAACTAAGCAGCCATACCATAACATGGCTTAGAAGTATAAGGTGATACACATTGGGGAAAAAACCATTAATTCACATATAAAACTATGTGCTTTGAACTAAGCAGCAACAGACAAGATTTGAAGATTTTGAAAGGTAATTCCAGGAACACATTAACTCTACAGTGTCTGAAAAAGCAAATTAGGAGTGTTGGGGTTAGCAACCAGAGAACAAAATAGATATCATCGTGTTATTGCACAAAGCCCAACCTCATCTGCTCCCTGAAGCATATGTGGTGCTGCAGACCCTCATTTCAAAAAGGACTTAGAACTAAACAGGACGTAGAGAAAGAAAAAGAGGAAAATGAAAGGTGTGAGATAGTAAAGGATGACTAATTATTCTATTCTCTCTTTGAAAAAAAAGTAGATATGCAAAAGGTCTGTAAAATAAGTGCATGGGGATTGCTTGGTCACAGTTTTCCTCGATCCATGAACCAGGGGACATTAAATGAATCTATAGGATCCAGATTCAAGGCAGAGAAGGTGATTCTTTATGTCAGTATTTAGTTAGGGATGACCTTCCCATGCTAAACTAAAGATACTAAAAGTTATGTGGGCTCAAGAGCAAACAACATGCAGAATTCATGGAAGAGAAATTCCTCTTACAAAGTACAGAGCTGCCACATCCAGCTGAGGAAATCCTTGAGTGGAGGCTCCCTGGGGAAAGACATGCACCATTTTCCATGTTCCATTTTCCATCTATTATCAGAGACAATATTTCAGGATAGATGGTCTCACTTTGGCTATTCTACAAGTGTGGCTATTCCTACCTTATCACAGCTCATCCAGGCTATTGTGCTGGGTTTCTTGACTGGCAGTTCTTGAAGGGAGATGAGCAAGGGCAAGTTTGACCTGGAAATGTTGTAATACAGATCTCATCATACAAGATGAGATTGAAGCCAAAGTTTTCCCTGTATTTGGACACAGACAGATTTTGAGTCAGTTCTGCCACTTGTCATTTTCCCAGTTTATAGGATTATTTGTGACCCAAAGTTTTATCACTTGTTGCCTAAAACTGGATCTTTGGGTTTTAGTGAAACAATGAAGATGGTGGGAGTGGTTAAATGGCTGTAGTTAACATTAGCTTGAAATTCTCCAGTGTATTTTGAAAATAATCTCAGAATTGACACAATTTATTTAAGATCTAGAAATCAGAGACCAAAAGTCATAAACTCCATTATGGACTCCACTTTAATCTTGATGTCCAGTTTCTGACCAGCATTCAGAAATCTCAAAGGATGCAGGAGTGTAAAAAAGGATATGAGTTGTATCAAAAAGCAAAACATGCTTCAGCAAAAGCATTTAAGAAATTCATATAAAGCACCTGGGAATTGTTAAGGCCTATGGAATGTTCTTTGAGAGATTAAGACATAGGAAGCTTTGGGTGTCCCCATCATGGGAATAGTTTAGTTACAGACTTCAAATGGTTACCTGCAGAGCAAACAAGAAATTAGCCCTTAGAGGAAAGCAGCAATTTGTTTGAAATTGTTGTTAGAAAACTCCCTCAACATGCTGACAAAAGTTATTTCTCCTATTTTTTTTCTCCTATCAGGATCACAGCTCTTGTCAGTTCAAGTGAAGAGTCCTGTATCACTTTAAATGGACCAGGTTAAAATATCCCCAAAGCTTTATCATACACCAAAATCACACAGATCCTGATGTTCTGACTGGTCATTTTTTCAGCTGAGTAATCACTAATCAAGGTTTTTCTGTTCTAATATTAAACACAGTAGAGTTATGTGGTCAAAAGTGACAGAGACATGTATCTAGTACAAATTACCATCACATGTGTGAGCATCCAAATGCAGGGGTGATTCTCTTTAGCTTGGTTTCTCCAATAAGTATATGAAGAAGTTCAGAAGCAGAGATCAGATTTGATTATTCTTCTTTTTACTAAAATGATGAGAGACTAATACAAGCTCAAAACACCCTACCAGTAATTAAGTATTTTGTCACAAACTTGTAACATTTGAAGGACTAATAATTATGTGATAAATTCTGCTCAAACAGATTTCTAATTTTTGTATTTAACAGATGTCATGGAGCATTTGTTGCAGCTATTTACTGAAGAGATTTATTGCCATAAAATGTATAAATACTTGCATCATTAGGTTAAAAGGAGAGAATTTTGTCTAAAGCAAGATTCTCCCTAGAGAAAGACTAAAAATCTGTCAGCTACCACAATGTATCAACACTGCCGAAGATAATAAGCAGTTAGCTACCTTGAACTATTTCAAATTAGGTATCTGCACTCAAAGGTTGTCTAGAAAAGTCCCTTTAAAGGCCATCCCCTTCCCTAGTATGGCTTCTCTGATGGTGTTTTCCTAAAGTATTTCATTATATGGCAACCTGTGCCTGTTTTGCTTCTCCAGAGCTGTTGACTTGTAGTCAATAAAGAAAGCACTCTTCCTCCTACTAAATCCTGTTATTGAGAGAGTGACATTTTCCTCTGTTTGATCAGGGATCTTCTCCCCACCCAGCCTTTGTGTTACCTTAGTGTCTTAGAGGACTAATCCAGTGTTCAGGCTCCTGAAAGTCTGTCTATTTTTCCAGCCAGAATATTTCAGTTTGACACAAGATCCCGTCTCTACCTTGATATTTTGCCTTTGAAGCATCATTCAAGGAGTCACTTAATTGACAGATGCACTGGATAGGTTTAAGCCCTCAGTGGTTACCTGCTGCTTAGATGCAAAGTCATGTAATTTAAATGATGAGGGTTTCCTGTAGCCCCAACATCTCTGACAGCTTAGAACCAACCAAGTGGAAACACCTCAGAGAGGGACCTGAGTGAATGTATACTCTGAGAATCTGTGTCCCAGTACCCTGGGTTCAAAGCAAAAGGTGTTTCTTTCAGAAACTTGTCCAGACATCCAGACTGCTCACCTGCTGAACTCTCCTTTAGAACCAGCATAGTTCAAAATGCAATTTTGTGATTTAAACCAGGCTACCTGACTTTGGGCTGAGGTGATAGGAGATAATGCTGTCAGTTTTTAACACCCAGCTAGAGGTATATTCATCCAGTGCTGAAGAACAGTCACCTCTTAAACCATCCCACCGAATTCCTTTTTTTTTTTGGTGCTTATATGAAGTTTCCCCTTTAACAACATAATGCAAACCATCCATTGTTAGCATCTGTAGAGGGATCTGATACTTCATTTTACTAACCCCCTTCCTCTCTCTGGTAGGAAAGGCAGCAGGCTGCATAAGAACAGGTATTATTAGGGTCCAATAGTAATTCAGGTCATTGCTAAATTGCAGTACATGTTAAACTATACTGAGGCCAGAGAGAACTAGAAAAAGAAGCAATTCTATGACAGGGAAATTACAAAGCTTTTCTCCTGCAGTGCTGCAGAAAGTACATGCAGAGTAGAGATGAAAATCCTGAAGCCAGTTCACTCTAAGTGAATCAGTTATTCAGAGGATGTACATGATGTTTCACTTGAGATTCTGCTTGGAGTAAAAATGCAAGAAATTGGTAAATTAGAGTTTAAAACATCTGGCACCATTTACTAAAGTAAATTGTCACAGGGAAACGCACACTTTTTGCTGTTGTTTTGATTTAGCTGGCAGGATAATCATGTTCAAAGCCAGCCTTCTCTGCCTCACGGCAGAGTCTCTGCCTGCATTCCCTTCAGCTCCAAGTTCACTTACTTTACTTTGAAGGTGGGCTGAGCATCGGAATCTGACGACAGAGTGGGCTGTGCCCTCGGGGCGAGGGAGCTCTTCCCTTCCCCTCAATGACTGCATTTGCTCGTGCAGTACACAGCAGCAGCAACAGTGTGGTGCTCTGGGTCTCCAGCTCTGCCCGGCAGACGGATCTGCAGCTCGCTGAACATCTGCAAGCCAAGTTTTTCATGTTCTCCCGCCTGTGAATGCTGCCCAACTGCGCCGGGAAAATGGGCACAGGGGATTATCTCTGCATTGCTATGAGCGGAGGGGCACCGTGGGGCTTCAGGCTGCAAGGGGGCAAGGAGCAGAAGCAGCCTTTGCAAATCGCCAAGGTAGGAGCATGACAGAAAGATGTTGTTGGAGTTTTGTGGGCACGGATGACAGGAGCACTTGGTTTAAATTCATCCTGCTTCCAGGGAAATGGTGTGGATCTTGTTGTGATGCTTGTTTTAATTTGCTAACGGGTTTTGCAGAGATTCTACAGGTGCTGATTCTGTCAGTTTCAATAAAAAAGGATTATTACTTTTGGGTAGCTTGCAAATTTTGTTAGATGCTGAATGTTTCACTTGTGACACGATGTGTGCCTTTCAGCTCCTGTTTGCCTCTCTCTCTGGCTCTGAGTGCACTCAGCACATCGCAAAACTCAATCTCATATTAGGAAATGCTGCTTCAGTCATCTATTTATGATAGTTTTTCTACTCTGGTCATAGAATAAATACAGCTTTATAATGAGAAAATGTCCTTACTATTTTGGGAATCCTGGAAAGCATTACACTGACTTATCTCTGGTTTTGGAAAGTTATCCAGTCTCAGAAGCAGCTTTAATAGATGCCAAACATCCCCTCTTATATTTCATGAGCAACGCTGAAAATTACTGGACACTTTATAAATTATCTGCACGTATAGAAAGAGGGCAAGACAGACAGTAGAAGTTGACAATAAATTAAAAATAGGAACTGGTAATCCCAACTTGCAGAAATAATTGTTCAAAGGTAGTTTTGTTAAAAATCAGCGCTCACTCCAGTGCAACAATGAAGATTTGTCACGGTTATTAAGGCTTATGTAACTGTATGGAGCTGCATTCTGTTCCCTTAGACAAGAGGGACAAATTTTGTCCAGAGCTCTGAGCTCAGCAAAATACCACTGGCTGAAACAGTACAGGGACTGATCATCATCCCATGAGCTCTGCCTAGTTAAACCCAGGAAGAGAGTTTAAAATGTGCCTTATCTCCTTCCAGGATCTGGGTAATGCACTACACTGAGTGTGTTTGACTTGGATATGGTGTTTTCCATCAGTAGTTTACTATTTTAGCTGTAACTTTCTCAGGCTGTCAATACACTTGGTTATTAGTTAACTTTAATTACTGTATCAGTCAGCTTTTTCACAAACAGCAGAAACAATAAATCGACCTCATTTTATGGGAGAAGGTACTTTTAGCTCCTCTGTCAAGAAAAGAACATCTTTCACTATTCTTTTCACTTATTTCCAGCCTATCCTATTAATCATATCCAGTAACAGAACTGTGATTTATTGAGGGTCTGAATAATTTTTCTCATTTCTGTTAAGTTTTTTGTTTGTTTTTCTATGTGTTACAAAACTTGAAAATTTTTCACTTTTTTCCTACCAATGGGCAACTGTTGCTGTGCAAGTAAAGCCTCTGAGAACAGATGGCAGTGGACTCCTGCCATCTAGTGAAAACTTGTAGCTAGAACTTAAAAATGGTGAGCAACAGTAAAAGGGGCCTTGATTACATAAAACCAAAAGTAAAACCCACAAGATTCTGACTAAACTTCAGTTTTCCGGATAAAAATGGTCGATTCAAGGGTGGGTCATTTTTTTTTTTTCCCCTCATGTTCACATCCCAGACTGGGTCACTTAAGCCTGGGTACTAAAGGCTGGGACTTGAGATAGCTGTACCTTACTTTAATGCATTTTCAGTAATACGTAGTATTTTCTAATGGGAAAACCCCCAGCAAAATATGCTCACATTTAGAAAATAATAATATGTATTTTTAGGAAAAAACTCACAGGTACAAGTTTGTTTTCCTGTAAATGAAAGGGAAAGCTCCAGAGGGGTTGCTTACCTTTGTTAGAGCAGAGGAAAGGGCACTCAGGTACTGGTCTTGAGTGGAGAAGTGACTGTGATAGAGATCTGAAGTGGAGAGGGATGTGAAATAAAGAGAAATGAGATAATCCATTAAAATATGTCAGAACACAAAATTCCCAAATTCACTCTACCTACTCTTGGATAAAGGAAACATATTGCTTTTAAAGCTGATGGGATAAGTCACTGCCACTCACTGCCAGAAGCAGCTTTTACCAGTTTTTTAATGCATTTTAAAATAGTTTTATTACATGTATAAAGAATATGTAAACCACCCCCCCCCTCTGCCTAGTTCCTAAAGCATAAGTTCAAGTAGCATTCCCACTAAAATCCATGAGTTTTGCCTGCAGTATAAATTATTGTCTTCCATTACCACGCAAAATATTAATGGAGAGATAAAGACAAACTTTTTACCAAAAAATATCTTGGTACTTTTTCACAAGTACTTTTGCAGATAAAACAGGCAATTGTCATCAGCAAATAATTTTACAACCACTAAATTAGATTCAAGACCTTTCAGTACTTTTTAAGTGTGAGATTGCAACAAATGGATTTTTCTGAAGTATGAGAAAGTATCATTCTGCTTGTCTATTTCAAACCTGTATTCAATACATAAATTTGACTCACTTTCCATAGATGTATAAGAATTTATATTTATTTATATTTAACAAGTCTCCTCCTCTAAACCCTGTCTCTGTACACCAACTTACTTTGTGAAGTCCAATAATGTTGCAAATAATTAATGAAAACTTATTTTCGGTTAAAAAGAATTTGCATATTCTATATACTGCTGCAATATAAAATAAAGTATTTTAAATGCTATGTCCAAAGAAAGTTATCTAATAAATGGATGTTTTTTAAAAAAAAAGTTTAATCGTGAGTCCAAAGGTAAGGAAAACAGTGGTTGTGTGTATCCCTTAACTAAAGCATGTCAGTGCTGTCCTGTAGGATGGCTTTCCCAAAGCAGGAGATGGGAAATCTCAGTGTAGCAGTGACCCTAGAAGGATAAGTATTCAAGGTACATAAAAGCTAAGCAATGCATGATGTCCTTTTACCATGAGATATATGAAAGAATATTTTTGAAATGAATATCATTGTGGTTTTTCTTGAAAATTTCTTTGAGGTTTCTAATTTAAAATATATAGAAAATAATGGCTGATTTTCTGAACTAGCATTTGAAACAAAGTCCTGTGACTTTTCCTATGAATACTTAACAATAGTTAACAGTAAAGTTATATCCTTAAAGAAGCATTTATTTGTAACAGGTAATTTAACAGAGTTGTCCCATAGATGATTTAGATTTATATTCATCTACAATGTGACTCTATTAAATCATCTTTGCAAGAGAGGTAGATTATTCTGAGCATATTTGTTACCTGCACCAAACAGTAATTTAATGGACTCGCTGTTTGTATCTGTCCAAGTCTTGGTAATTCATGTTTGGGAACTTAACCAAATAGTTCTAATATTTAAGGGAGGCAAGTTGCATGACTCTGACCTATAAGCACTTCAAAGGAAATCTAGATCAATGTCCTAAAAGTAAAAATGAATGGTTGCTTACAAGGAGGCTTCTGCTACTGCTTCCCAAATTGTAGCTTTACCTTTGGCTCAGTAATGGCATGTGACAACTGGCTGCCTGGTCATTTTAGACTTGTGCCCTTGTCCATCAACATGCTCAGATTTCAAGCCTCAGTTTCATCATTTTGGATTCATTGCAACCTGAAACAGAAAGTGAAACTCAAAGACTTGGGAATAACCTGAACCAACAGCGTGAAAAGTAATATCTGAATATGATTACTTAACATGGATGTAAACAGAGGTGGACTATGTCATGGTAGTTTGGCTTTTTCTCTGCATTTATCCAAAATACTTGACACATACAGAGCAACAACAAGAGGTTTTGATCAAGTTGACCTCTACACTTTGTCTAGTGGAAAAAAATAAGGAGTGAGAGATGTTAGCACAGTTATGCTTTGGATCCTGAGGTAAGGCAAAACACACCGCTGTCACATATACATGTGTAATGTATATATTAGCAAACACTGGGTCTATCCACAAAAGACATCACAGCTGCTGGGTTGAAGGAAACCTTTTTTAAGTTGTCATACTCCTAAATTGTCACCCTGCCTGCTCCCACTTGCAGGCAGGTAAAGGAGGTTGGTGAAAGCAGGATCTTCCTCTCCACCACTGCTTGGAACTGCATTTCTCAGCAAGCTGGGGGAAGGCTCAGCACTGAGCTAATGGCACCCTGCTGATCCCACTGAGTTTGTATCACTTGATATCTTAAGCAGGATTTGAGCACAACTTTATGCAATAGCAATCAGCAGAACAAGTCATATTCAGAGCGTGCTGTTTGAACTTTGGCAGCAAAGGAGGGGAGTTTAGAGTCAACCTACATGATTTTAAACACAACTTGCCTTACTTGGCCTGTATTTAAAACTGTTTGTTTAAATTTGCTGGCTAATACATTTCCAAACATAGTTTGTTTTTGCAGCCTGGACAGACTCTTATTCTCAAATTCACCCTTCTGACCATCTGACACAGCTGGTATTTGCTGATATTCAGAAAACCCTGTAAGGCATATTTACATATTCTTTCACACAAGCAGTTATGTGGAAGATTGTGGGTTTATCTATCTTTTCTGGAGAGGATTTTGACTGTGTTACAAGCCTTGACCCAATTTAATAACCAATACATTTTTGCACGTGTTTAGATGATATAGTTCAGCTTGTATTTAAGTAGATTATCAAACTTCCATTGACAGAAGGGAAGAAGCTGGGCTTTCTGGAGCTTAAGTCAATTTATTTTGCAAAACAGAGGAACAAAGCAGGGTTCCTCAAATCTAGCTAAAATAGACCACTGTTGAATAACTTTTTTCTGAAAAATCTGCTAGTGCCAGTTGGAAAGATAATGAAGAAAAAAATCCATTCACCTTAACCAACAAAGGTTTACATGTTCTTCTAAAGGTTAGGGCTCTGTGTTCCCTACTTTCAAGCTTTTGCATTCCAGCCATTGTGCCAGTGGAAATGTTTAGCACTGGAGTCCCATCTAGTTGTTTAAAAGCTGCAGGCTGAACTAGCACATGAGTGTATAGCCCATTTTGGATATACAGGACTACATACCAAGCTGCTCTTGGCATGCTTCCCACAGTATTTAGCCAAATACAAGCATGTTTTGGATACATGGTATTATTCATTTGTGCTTATTTCCAACTGATGCTTTTCCAG